TATATATATATATATATATAGATGCATTAAGTAATAAAACAAAATTCGGCGTCAAATCAGCATCAAATCGACGTCATAGAGTGTCATGACATGAAAAACCGCAAAATCATATATAATGTCTGATTTTTTCTCCCAAAATCAGCTGATTTTTTCTCGTAAGCACAATTACCATTGTCTTATTTCATGCCGAAAAACCATGAAATTTAAAATTAAATACGTAAAAAGACACAATTTATGTATTTTTTCATTTTTATTAAAAACACCCCTTAATTGTTAAATAAAAAACTCAAAATAACAAAATATAGGTCAAATTTCGTAAATCAGATATTATATCTGATATACGAACCCCAAAACAGATAAAAATAATTTTTGCATCTCCATAATTATAATGGTTTATTTTTAAACCTTTACCCATGAATTTTGGTTCTAAAAAAGTTAAAAAACACAACTTAAATGGCGTATCAGTTTTATTAAAAATACAAAAAAAATAAAAAAATAATAATAAAAGGCTGGATCACCCCTGGGGGCGATGAGACAACCTGGATCGCCCCCTAGGGCGAGGTCAAACCCAGTCTTCGAGGTGAACAGTAATTTTCTTTTAAGAATTTTTTTTTTAGAATTCAAATGTACAGATCTCCCCAAAAAAAGTACGGATCGCCCTTTGGGGAGATCTGGGTGGTCAAATACGCAAAACCTCTAAAACCCGGTTATTTTGTGGCAAAATGTTGTATAATATGGTTATTTTTTTAAATTTCTCATATATATATTATCTATAAATAATTAGATTTAATATCTTTTAAATTTAAAAATAGTATTTTGACATTTATTTTTATATACATTTTTCGTGAGTTGTCTTACATATTTAGATAACAGAACGTTGAAAGGCGAAATTGTTTGATCAAACCATTACGTATGTGATGTGATGTGAATATTTGATACTTTATAAAAGAAAATTTTAGAAATATGTGAGTTTTAGACGTTGACCATTATCAATCAATTGTAGTGTTTAAAATTTTTGATTTAAAATTATCTTACATTAACGGGGAAAAACATCCCCGGTTCCCCGTTGGGGACGGAGGTGGGAATATGATCACATTGTCGATGGGGATAGGAACAGGGATGGGGACAAAGATTAGGAAACTTTCTACTCATAGGCTACAACACTTTTCTACTACACAATATTGTTTTTTGAGGCGTTGATACGATGTTAAAGTTTTCAAGTGCTATGAGGTTTAATGTAGAAAAATTTGATGGAAGGATCAACTTTGGCTTATGGAAAATTCAAATCAAGAATGTGTTGATACAATCCGGGTTACATAAGGCATTGAGAGGAAAACCAGCTTCCAATGGTGAATCAAGTCTTACTAGTAAAAGCGAGGAAAATGGGATGCTTTAGATTTTAGAGCAGAAAGTACTATTTGCCTGTGTCTAGCAAAGAATGTTTTTGCAAACATGCATAGGATATCAATGACCAAGGAGCTTTGAGATAAGCTTGAGTAGTTGTATCATGGCAAAGACATCTCAAACTGATTGTATCTTAAAGAACAATTTCATACTCTAAGTATGGGTGGCAGTACCAAAATTTCAGATCATCTAGGTGTTCTGAACAATGTCGTTTTAGAATTGGAGGCTATCAGAGTTGAGATAGAAGATGAAGATAAAACATTAAGGCTTATATATCTTTGCCATCTTCCTATAAGCACATGAAGCCTATTCTGATGTATGGAAAAGAGACCATGAAGTATGCGGATGTTACTAGCAAACTCCAATCAGAGGAGAAAAGTTTGGAAGGTAGCAATATGAATTCATCAAAAGGTACGATTTTGGTGACCAGACAAGGGAAGAAGAAGAATTCCATGAAGAATCTAATATGCTAGAAGTGTGGACAGTCTGAGCATGTCAAGAGAAATTGTCCAGGTGGAGTGGTTTCGACAAAAGACTCCAATTCAGATGCTAACAATGTCTATTCTCATGAGAGACGATGAGTTCTGTTGAGATATGGGAGAATACATCCTCATGGTATGTCCGCTTTACCATGGAAAAAGGATGTTTTCTAGTTAGGGGTTCCACATATTTACACATGTGCATTGGTTTGGCATGAATGCAAGGCATGTGGTGGGAATGATGTCGATAGCTAATGAATTTATGGGAAAATTAAACGAAGAACTTGCACCACAAACTTTTAGCAAGTTTTTCGACATGTGCTAAGGTAAAATTCTTATGGTGGAGTATGATAGTTCTTTTATATGAGAATTATGATTGTCGATTTAGATAATGGTTGTCGGTGTTGCAGTGAAGACTTTCTTTTATTTAGCGAAGGTCAAGTTTGTTGAGAATTCTTGGGCTAAAATAAAAGATAAGATTAAAAGATTGTCTCACATCAGTGGAGCACTGAAAGGTGAAAGAGACTCCAAAAGGGTTTCAATGCATAGGTTTCAAATCGTCCCAATTAAATACACTATAAGTTTTTTTATTATTTCTTTCTTGTTCTCTTGTTTTAGAGGGTAGAAATGTGTGAGTTAAATCTTCGAGAGTATGAGTATTATTGGCTGAGACTTTCGAGATTAAAACTGTGTGATTGTAATAATTTTCACATAGTAGATTTTCTCTCTGGATGACCATGGTTTTATCCGGTTTTGGAGTTTCCACGTTAATTCTACTCTTCTTTTTCTTTATAACTTTTCATTGTTTGGGTTGTTGGGAAACTCTGTGACCAATTTCCCTACAAACCTATCTTAATCCATGTTAATACTACTATATGATTCATGATGTACCAACATCATTCTGTCACCAAGTTACAATACGATGGGAATTAGTGTTTAGGTATGCCACTCCCCAACAACATACTTCATTATTTCAAGTGAAAGGATTGACTACATGCATAATGACCATATAAAAACACTTATGACACTCATATGACATCTAATGCAATACTCTTATAGTCAACAACTCATTTTAAGTACATAAGGTATCTATCTTGTACCCCATGTGTAGATTCCACAGTCCAATATATGTGAATCATACATGTGCTAGTCATTCTCATGTTATATACTTCAACCCAAGTTCAATATATTAACTGACCAAAGAAATTTCAAATAGATTAGTCTTTAGCTATTATTATGCTTAAATAGCACATAAAATATCATGTAAACACATTAATTCAGGCAATGCCTTCTATTAATTTCATTACTCCATACTCAAAACTACAACCATCACTTTTGGACATACACTAATATTTATTAGATTGCAATATTACATATACAATCAAGAAAGAACACTGAATATTTTACATGAATATTTGAGTAATATATGAGACAATTTCAAAATATTAAGATGTGATTGTTGGCAATCATTTGGATATGTCACTTGCAAGTCTTTTGTTCAGTATCGTAACTCCCATGTACCTGCAACGAATTGAAAGAAAATAATTGTCATTGTGTAGTTGTAACGAAAAATGGAAGATTGATCGATTTATGTGAAAACCACACATCTTTCTGTATTCAAATGTTATCACCTTCCAAGCATTAACAGGCTTGCTTGAGGATTTGTTCCTGGAGAGCTGGTTAAAGTTGATCCGTCAATGACACGAACAGCATCCACTCCAAGAATCTTATAATCTGCATCGACTACCTTGCCCATTTGACACCCTCCATGGTAATGCCATATAGTCTTTACATTGTCCTTGCAATATTGTTCCAATGATGAGCTTGTATCGGCATTCATGGGAAAAGTTGTGGGCATTTTCATGTTAAGGTCAAGAATATCTTGAATCGTCATATTTGCATATTTGAATTTCGCGAATGATTTTGATTCTATTGCTGTTAGCATTGTTCTGAGCCCAAGAACGCATTTTCGCAAGTCATTGGGCTCTTTGAAGTAGTTGAATGTTACAGATGGGTTGTCAGCAGGATTTCTATTTGTAAGCTTAAGGTCACCCTTGGATTTAGGATAGTTAACTTTCTCGAATATAAATCCACCCATCTGCAAACAAGTAGAGGTGATTAAAAGCTATAAGAAGTTGTAAATTCTTGTTACGATTGTTAATAACGAAATACCTCATAAGAAAAACCCTGATAGTCTGAATCCGTCCCACCGATCAAATTGAAGCCTTCGACTGCCTCAATATAGTTGCCTGATTGAGTGATACCAACGATGTCAACCAAAGATTGTGCCACGGGTATCGGAGAAGGGACGAAGAATTCATTTAATGGGTTATCAACCATCCCTTGACCAATTAAAGGATGGTGCAACACTCGTTTGATGTTGTGGGTATGAAGCTGGTCCTTTGGACCTACGCCACTCAACATTAGAAGTTGGGGGCTTCCGAGGGCACCCGCAGATAGTATGATTTCATCCCTTTGTCCTCCTTTCAAGTAAGCCCTATGCTTTTTGCCTGATGCATCTTCATACACTACCCCATAAGCTGTTGGTTTTGATCTCTCTGTACAAGAAGATTTGTTGAAAATGTCTGAATGTTAGGGGATATTTAATACCATTATCTTGCAACGTTGCTAGTGGGAATATAATTAGATTTAAGAAATGTAAAAGAAATATAATTAGAAGTAAGAAATATACCTTTTGTTTTAAATAAGATTTTGTGAGCAGTTGCATGCAGAAGGAGACGCAACCCCTTAGGATTTGCATACTGTAGCAAATCCGCTGCCGTATGTCGTGTCCCATTTTGATCAAAAATAGTACCACCGACTTTAGTCCCAATGATGTGATCATACGTAAACCCATTTTCTGGTGTCACGTCGGCTTCAACAAGCGCACTTTCCAACGCCGAATGCCACCTTGTCAAAACCGGCTTAGAAACCATCACCTTTTCTACCCATCGGTAAGACTCGTTGATCAACCATTCATCCTTTAGTTTGGCCTGTTTTATGAATCTTGCATCACCATGAGAATAAAATCCAGCATTGATTGAAGTACCACCACCCAAGACGCGTGGTCGTGCATTTGTAACGCCATCAACCGAAACAAATCGTTGAGAAGGAGAGTCGGGTGAGTTGTCAGAAAAGTAGGAGCCGAAGTTGGCTTTTTTGGTGACGTTAGGATTGCCATAAGGTGAAGCACCACGTTCAAGCAGTAGAACTGAGTAGTTTTGAGAGAGGCTTGTGGCTATTGGGATTCCAGTCGTGCCTCCGCCAATGACTATGTAGTCGTAGTATGAAATCTTCGGAGCTTTTGTTGCCTCGTGCATGAAGGTATAGTTTGGAGCTGTATAAGGAATAAATATGGACAAGAATAATAAAAACCATGTATTTATTTTTAAATAAACTAGAAAACCGAAAAACAAATATGGATTAAGCAATAAAACACATCATACAAGTCGAATGAAATGTTACGACACGAAATAATGATCATCGATTAAAATATCTACTGCAAAGTAAGTAACGAGACCACCAATATTGAATACATACGTATTTCACCGCGACAAAACTCCTGAAAGCATAAAATTGTTAGGAACATTCCCCATAACGCATACGTTAACATTTTGTGTGGTCGGTTTCAATGCGTTGATGTCAAAAACTCGAAAGGATATGTTGTGTCTTTGGTACTTTGTGTTTCTAATACGAAATAAAGAGAAAAGTAATGGTATTTATAGAAATCTGAGAGCTCGAAAGAGTTGGATTTTTTGTAGATAGAAGTGTCCACAAAGACCAAGTAAAAGTGTAGAATTTAATTACGTACCTTAAGCAAAACTATATTCGTTTGTTTGACCTTCAAGGAATATCGAAATTAATACTATAATACAAACATGAAAAAGCAAATACATAATAAAAAAACAATTGACTACGTAACGAGAAAAAAAAAATATGGGGGAATGAATTTTTGGCATTTCCCTCGCTGATCTGATATTCGTCGTTGATACCTGATTTTCTAGTAGTGTACATCCGAATACGAAACCGTGTAAATATTGTTTTCTTAAATTCATTTAATAAAAATATGAGGCGAAGAAACAGTTCACAAGGATTGTTTTCATAGCATTCAAGTTTGTGTCTCTAAAACAAGTCTTTAGCATCAAATTAAGTTAAGTTCTACTCTTATCTAAACAAGGTTAAAATGATAGTTTTCAAGTGCTTATCGATCAATCAGGGGCAATATGATATCAAATAAGTCAGCAATGAATGCTACTTGACCACAAATTTGGATCATCAATGGTGACTCATAGGATCGATCGTGAATTGACACTCTCGATGCAATACATACAACGTCCATATATGCCTTCATGTTAACGAAAATATATTTGTCGAGGGAACGAGGGAAGTATGAGTGAACCAAGTCCTAAGTAGTAAGTAGAGAATTCCATAATTTCGCTAGTTGAAATCACAGGGGTTCCTCACTACCACTACAAAAATGGAAGACTTTTGTGTGCGGACTTTTCCCTGATAAAAATCCATCGCTAAAGGGGTGATTCGTCGCAAAACTGTTACGAAAGGTGGTAGATAAATTATTGGTGGGTAATTCAAATTAATGAAAGATTATTCGAGCTTTCTCTGGGTGATACTGTTGTATTTTTTTGAAAACACAGTACTTTATCGGAACCATTGATATTTTCTGGATGACCCGTCGGTAAATCACCTACGTAAATTTAACTCGGAGATTTTCGTCGGTAAAAGTCATTTATTTTGCAGTGTAATAGTTCTCCATAATTCAAAGGCTTCTCTTATGTTTTTGGTACCCATGGATTTTGCATTAGAAAGATCCAAAGCTTAAATCAACATGCATTTGACATGTCAACTAAGTTGATGCACGATATCACCATTACAACCTAAGTTTAGGTTCATAACAAAATTAGGAAAGTAGTTAAAACATTTAGAGGCCGTTTACTAAACGCTTACTTGATAAGTGCTTACCAAATAAATTTCCTTATCAGATGGACATGACAAGGGCCAAGAATCTTACCGGGTAAGAGCGATAAGAAGGATGAAGAGTCTTACCCGGTAAGTGAAATTACGACTCTTACCCAAGTAAGCGCTTACCCGGTAAATTGTTGCATTCAATATGTTTTGATGTACTAAAATCTTACTCATCAAAATAAATTATAGCGTTGACTCCTATAGGTAAGCACTTACTGGGTAAGGAAACAGCGTCTTAGATAATAGCTAGAATTAAAATATATGCAACATCCTAAGAATATTTCAGCTTAATCTAGACAGACTATATTAATCAAGTTCCGTAATTGGCTGTGTCCTAACCAAAACATTCTGTACATTGTCCTCCTTGACCAAGCCTTTTTACGTATAAGATGCCAATGGCGATGGTTCAGTAATATAATTTAAAACATGACGATCATAGCAAACCCCAATACAACCCCATCATATGTGGCAATCACAGAATCTTGAATGTCTGTCTGGACCATTGACTAGACTTAGAGAGCATCCTTATGGGGTAGGTTTGATTGCAAATAACTTGACTTTGATTAAGCTCTGATTATTTTATTGTAAATGGGGATTTACGCTTACTTATTGTATAGTACAATTGGCTACAGGATTATATGTCACCCACCTACTATGAGATTTCTTGAAAATTTTCTGGTATAACTCAAATTATCGCTATAATAAAATCGGGTTTATATGACACTTTTAAATTCTAAGTGTCTTAATAGACCTCTTTATAGGACGTAATTTATAGGACCCAAAAAATAAAGTGTCTTATCTAAAGGTGTTGTAATAAGTTTATATAACGTCTTTTGACGTTGTAATAAGTTTTTTAGGACACTTTTAATATAAAGTGTCTCATTCTCAACTTTATAGAACACTATTTGAAAAATTGACCTATAAAAACTAGTGTCATATAAAAAAATGAGTTCATAGGACACTTTCTCAAAAGTATCCTATAAATTTCTAATGCGACACTTTGTATTAAAAATGTCCTAAATTTTTTTTAAGATGTCCAAAAGCGTCGTATAAACATATTACAACACATTTAGATAAGACACTTTATTTTTTTGGTCCTATAAACGACATTCTATAAAGAGGTCTATTAGGACACTTAGAATTTGAGAGTGTCCTATAAACCCGATATTGTTGTAATGTATATAGGTGTCTACAATGGTTCCTAAAAGATATGGTTGAAAATGTAAGAACCTGTATGAAATTTTAACTGGGGCATTGCAAGTTAATGATACAAATGCACTTTTAGTTTGCAACCTTCCAATGCTTTTTAGGGTTTATAGAGTTGTGAATTACTTGTAATCGAACAATTAGCAGCGTGAACGGTGAGAGGTCTCTTGGCTGCAATCTCATGCCGAAAACCACACTACAAACAGCTACACTCACCACCCCACAAGCACAAAACACAATGGACCACTACATGGACATCAATATTTTCATAGCTGATGGAATCTACTTCCCTGCTGATCATAAGACGCTTGTGTATTCGCTCAAGACCGTGTTTTCGACATCTTCATATGATTGATAGCTTTACGTTTTCGATCTATCAAGAGCATGCGATGGTGTCTTGATTCCTTGACATTTCTTAATCACCTAGAATGGCACAAAAAGTTTTGACTTTCAAAGATCCCAATTGCAGTCAACAACTGTTCAGTTGTTTCCCAGACCATTTGTTTATTACTAATACTAACAGATCATATTACTTTCTTTGATTGATCTGGTCCGCGTACATTGTTTCATTTGATGCCATGCAAAAGACGCACCTGTAAATTATATCATTCTTGGAATGGGTGATTTGGTCCACTTACAATATATATATATATATATATATATATATATCATTCTTGGAATGTTTGTTTGATTTGGTCCACTTCCATTGCTTCATTCAAAGCCATAAACCAGTTCTAGATGTAGAAGAGTTCAAATAGTACCTTCAAGGCTACAATTTGAAGCGTTTTCCCTGGTTGAGAACAAGTTATGCTTATATTATTCAAACATAAGGAAGATATATATATATATATATATATATATATATTGCATTATTTATATGTTATGTTGATGCTGTCAAATGTGTTGGAAGTTGCTTTGTTTTCAATAATTGCAATGTAATCATATTATAAAAGTTAAAAGGATGATTTAGACAAAAATAAAATGCAAAGAAAGTAAAACACTTTGACTTTTTAAGGTTCGAATCGATTAATGCCAAGAATGTTCTTCGTTATTTTATACTTGTCAATCGTGATTCTCGACCTCCAATAGAGTTATATCCACTCCTTGTTCCTAAAAAGATTCAACATTTAACTCGACATATGATCTAATCCAAATATCAAGGTTCAACAAATTAAGGTGACCATAAACTATAATTAAGGAACCAAAGGGCCTTCGGCGTAGCGGTATCTTAGGAGGTAAATGGTTCAAACCTCACCAACGATGAGGAGGGTGTGTGAGTTTATTTGTTGCTTATAAACTTAAAAAAAACTACAATTAAGGAGAGGAAGACTTCCAAAAACTAAATTTAGAAGCGTTAATCTAGCACCCAAAGAGAGTCGGTGCATCTTCCAACCAAAAATCTTAGCTAAAAATTTCTCGATGTTTTGATTCTTATTTTCGATTTTATTTATATTTTCTACCATCGGAAGGACAAAATACGTGAAAAGAAGAAGGCCCGCACTACATCCCATCTCCAAAGCCATATCCGAAATAGTTACCCCACTATAAAGTTTAACTTTAGCCACGTTTATCTTTTAGCACGAGACTAGTTGGAAACACTTCAAAATGCCCATTAAATTTCGAATGTTGTTGCTTTCCTGATCCCCAATGAAGATTGTGTCATCCACAAATCGAAGATAGATAATAAAAACCCGATCACGACTAAATTGGAATACCTTTCAAAAAAACATCATGATTTTTAAAGATAACGAGTCACCCGCACGCATCCCTTTTAGTAGCGTGTCTCTCTCTCTATCTCTATCTTTATCTCTATCTCAAATAAAATCCAAATATTAATCATATAATTAATTAAATTATTTTTAAATACGTAATTTTTTCTTTTTCTTCTTACTATTCAATTAGTTTTTCTATTTTTTCTTACTATTCAATTATTCTAATTTTCATTCTGTTTAAATTATGATTAATCTTATACTTTTTAAACACCAAACTCTATTTAAATTATGCCATTTCATATAAATCTAAATTTTAGAAACATATTTTTAGAATAAAAGTTTAATATAGGCTTTAGAATTTATTCCATATCAACATTTAATTTAAAATTATATATTTTTTTAAATTGATAATTGAGGTCATTTTAACATATCTCTCTTTTAAATATATTATGTGTTTTTTTAATACAATTTACTTAATATTTTAATAAGAAAAATTACATTATAATTAAGTTAACGTATATTACGTTGATTATTATGTCTCATATTGGTTATATTTGTCGCTTTAAATTTGTTAAACTTGGTTTACGTTTTATTTGATTAATTTTTATAAATAACATGTACATTTTTTTATGTTTGAGAATAAAGAATAGATTTTTTCAATGATTAACATTGATTATAGAAACATCCCAAT